TTCTATGTTTTCCTAAATACAGTCACACTGGTATTGGAGTAATGATCAAACTCATACAGATTTAGGAAAATTACGTGGTCTGTGTCGACCACTGTATCTACCCGTATGCCACTGCCTGACCAACACTTATCATGACGATGCAGGCACTACGCCCATCTGCGGGGGCTCTGCTTATGTAACCACTAGGTCAGTAATGAGTGTAGCCTCCTGGATACACATCTACCCATTTTGGATGACGGGCTTTACCTTTTTGGAGAACGAAATACGCTTTATTTTGAAAATATCGCTCCAAAATGTTAAGAAAAAGACGGCCTCTATTCAAAAATTAGGCGCAAAAAGTCACAACACTAGGAAGTCAAAAGTTATCCATAATCGTCAGTGACCACAATTGTCGTGGATAAATATCCCTGGAAAATTCGTCAAATATAGGCTGCATTATTCTGCTTTCAAAACGGTGCTAACGTTGTGGCCTCGTTTACTAACGACCTCATTGTAGGGCAAATAAACAAGGAGGGATACAACTAGGTTTAGAATAGGCGAAATTGGCCAACCGGTGTATATATAAGAGAATTTAAATGTAGCAAGGGAGTAAAGAAATGTCGGCTCAATTTGATAAGCCAAAATTCCAGTTCGTATCAACGTCCCACGTCCCAACGTCCGTGTTAAGTCTGCTGGATGGTAAATACCTCGAAGCCGCCTACACCTACTCCGAAGAAAATTAGTTTTCCTTTTTGTTTGTTAACCTGCTCATCGGATATCCCAGATCCTCAATACAGTTTCACTAAGGATTTTAGCTCACCTGTTTACCTTCTGCTTTCACTGGTTTTGCATTATTTTCCTGCACGGCACTACGAAAAAGGGAGTATTTTCGTTGTTGGCGGACAGACTGCAGAGCAGATCGGCTCGACGCGCGTCGACGAGTTTCTGATAAGAGAACGGCGCTGGCGTGCACAGGCATCTCTCGTAGATCGACGCAAACAGCATGCAGTAGCGGTCGCGAACGTTGATGCCACCGCCATGGCAGGCCGAGAAGTCGGCGAGAAAACGCTGATCGCCGTCTTTGGTGGGAGCTTTAAGCAAGGCGACATCTGGAGGCACCTCGCCTCTTGTGAAGTCCATGATTTCAGTCGTAATAAGTGAGAAATCCTCCACCGTTTCTTTTGTCATGTGTTTTTGTATAAAGTCATGATTCCTTTCTTGTACAGTATTGCGAGTCTTGTAAGCAACTTGTCTAAGTTCGTTAATGTTTGATTTTTTCCCCATACCAGTGAGAACGCATTTAGGAAAACTTATAAATAATAATGAGCAACATTAGGCATATTTAGTAATTAAAAGAACTATAAGAAGTACTTAATGTTTGTTAAGAAAAGTAATATTTCCTCGATAATCCCCAGGTTCTGGAGACGTAAATAATAGCTATAAATTAAAACAATAAATTTAAATATTTTGTTCAGTATAAAACTTAAAGCAACCACTTTCTTTTTATAAAAGAAGTTTTCCTTATTCAAATATTTTGTACATATTACCATTAGTGGACAACTATTTATTGAATATCGTGGAATAAAGTCTCTCATCATTTCGCTCGTTTTCAGTGTCTTCATTGATAAGTTGATAAATTGCGCTTCTGTTCGATGATTACATAAAAACCATTAATATGAGATATAACTAAACAGTATTTACCGAAAAAACGAGCTTTTGGATATTAGTTCTTTTGAAGATAGCCATGTAGGTCAAATGCGGAAATGCTTCAAAACAGCAAACCACATTGTCGAGCATACAAAATGTGTGCTAGATAATACGCATAATGGTATTCCTAAGATTAGTAAAAAACTTCTATAATAGGTTACCTCTTTAAACAGTGCTTTTATTGGATACAAGCGCGGAACCCCGGCTTCGCCTTGGGCTTCCTTACATGTTGTTGGCCCTTATGTAGGCAAA